AAAGCTCAGTATAATAAAAGATTACGCGTGTACCTGAGCCATCGACTCGTGTGTGCACGCCGTAATGCACGGCTAGTTTTATTACCTATTTCCATAAAAAAAGGGAAAGAAACAAGTTTTGCTGCTTAATAATTTTGGACGTATATACGCTGTGAAATTACAGTTTGTGTGCATGTGTCTGTGTGTGTATACGTTCGATCGTTGGCATCGCGTACACGGCCATGCCAGCAAGTTGTATTAGTACCAGGTTCCAAATTATATACCCTTGAAAAAAGTGCAAGCCTCGTTAGACGTTGCATAAGCACGTATGAAAGTGTAACGTGTATTAACGAGAGCTCACGGAGAGCCCTGACCGATGATGAGAGAGAGAGCGAGCGACGTCCAAGTTTTTTTTTCTTCGCTCGTAAATTGTTTTTTAACTACGTATACATGTATACAAGCTAGCTAGCCGAGAGAAAGCGAGAGCTATGATTTCCATATACTTTGAGCTTTTTTCACCCCTGCCCCCTCTCTTTACCATGTTATGCACGTCGTGGTGATTATTATATTTTTAGTCTCAAATTTTAATTTCATTCGAATTTTCCTCGTGTACCCGTGGCAGCAGCGATTGTGATTATGAATTTTTGCGTTTTCACAAGCAGTTATTCGCGTACACATAATATTGTATACAAAATAGAAGCCGAACGACGTGGGTGCAGCGCACCCTTCGCAGCCACCAGCACACCAGCACACGCGCGCACACACACACATACGCATAATCGCCACGGCATCGTGTTTATCTTGAATTAAGTAACAGTTCATACGAGCGCGCGGCCGAGCTATATTATATACACGGCTACGTTGCGCTCGTATAACGTTGATAAAAGCATCGTAATACCTTGCGGAACGTAATCTCTCGACTCCCGAGCTCGCTGCCTGCCTGCCTGACTGCAGACTGTAAAAAGCGTAAATACGCGCGCACGCAGGGCATCGTGCATGCGTGAGTTGCTGCTGCCGCCGCGTCCGGAGATAGATAAAGGACATCTCTATTATATAACCCCAACGCTTGCGAGTATATATATGTAAGAAAGAAAAGCGGGAAGAAAAGAAAATGCGTAAACAGTTATGTATTTATACGCACATAGCGAGCAGGGGTAAGGGAGAAAAAAAAACCTCGCATAAACGTCGCGACGCGCGCGCGCGCGCACGTGTACTTTGTGCGACTTTACGCGTTCGTAGCCTCATCGAGTCACTGAGCTTTTAACGACTTGACCTTTGCTTTACGATATGAACTTTGATTGCTCATGCGTTGGCTATATTATAATAAATACACGAGACTTTTTAATGCTGCGAGAGTCGGGGCAGCTCGACGTTTCGCTCGTTGAATACAAATGTCTCGTCGACGAGAGGGCCGGTATCGAATAAACATTATTGCGATATAAGGAAGCAAAAAAAAGGAGGTAGGCGACTGCGACTCCAGCTCATTTTCTTATCCGAAGCAAGAGCGAAAAAAAGGCTGGAGCGCAGCGTGAGCAAGCGAGGAGTTTAAGGTGATGCATCAAATTAGCGAAGGCAAAAAGTTGTGCCAGTCGACGGTCGACGGCAGAAAAAAAAAGAAGTAGTCGACTCGTTGAGATCGTGATACAGTACACACATAGTAGTAGTAGTAGTCGTAGTAGTAGGCATGGTGCAGGCTAACAAGGTTGTCCTATACATAGTATACATATAGGAGCGCGCGAGCTGTATAGGTACGATATATATACACGAGCTCGGTGCGCGCGGCGAAAAGACGAAAAGGGAGAGCCGCTGGCGTTATTTGCGGTGGCGTGTAAAACATAATTTGCGATAACTCGCGAACACGTGCGCTCGAGCGGCGACCGAAGTTACTTGATTCATGCACCGACATGCCCCTGATTTTCTTTCTGCCTTGCTGCTTGGCTCGAGTCGCTGCCACCACGCACCAGCCCCCCCTCTAACTCTCTCTCTACTCGCCTCTCCTCTCCGGCCTTGTTCGAGTGGATTACATTATTTTTAATTGCTTCTTTTCTTGCCTGGCACCTTGTGTGCCCTTTTTCAGCGAACTCCGTGTGCGTGCGTTTGACTGAATGTGTGTGTAACATGCCCCGCCGTCGTCGTCATCGTAAGCCTACTCTTATGAATAATGAGACACTACTGGTCTATGAGACGTCTTATTTTGTTTTACTTAGCAGTCTTTTAAAGTTTCATGCACGAAGCCAACTTGGCGAGGGACGCACTGCTGAGCTTTTTTCGTCGTCGTCGTCGTCGTCGTCGGTAGCCGCCGCGCATACCAAAAAATCCTGGCCTTTGACTCCGAGCAAGTACAGCGGGGAAGGCAAACGAACTTTCACGAGATGAAATTCAGCGCGTGTAATCTGCGTTATGCGCTCTATCCAAGTTTTTCATTTTGCTAGTTTTTTTCTTGTCTATTTTCTTTATTTTTGTACTATCGCCGCAGCGCGCAAGGAGAAAATAGCGATTTCCACTTGCAAAGTGATTTCTCACTCCGTTCGTGCCTTTTTTTTCGTCCTGTTCTGTTTTTTCTCCCATAGCGCAGAGGTAAAAACTCTACTTGAGAAGCAGCACAGAGTGAGAGTATAGAGCTAAGGGAGATTGCGCACGAACTAGGCTGAACAAACTTGTGTCATCGCTCGGGTGCTGCCGGTGGATAGGTAACGCAGCAGTAGTAGTAGTAGTAGTAGTAGTAGTAGCGGTGGTGTTGCAGCTGCGATGAAAGGCCCATTAGCAAAATCTCTTAGGCACCTGGAGGTTTGCGTGTGACTAAAACTGTTTCTCGTCGGCGTGCCCTCTACCTTCTCCTTCGTTGCCGTTGCCGCCACCACCACGAGTTGTTGAGCTTGAGTTATTACCTGCGCTTGCTTTTAGTTTGCTCGCTTGCGCGCGGCGGCGGCGCACGTGGCCGACGAGACATCTGTTCCGCAATTATTGCGAGAGGCGAGAGAGAGAGAGAGCTAGAACTAGCCGTCAAAACTCGAACAAGTTAGCTCTCCTCGGCTCTTTGGATTTCTCTCGCTCGCTCGCTCGACGAAGGAGAGCTGCAGCTATGAATGGCTCGTTTGCCTTCTCTAAACATGTATACAAACGCGAGAGCTATACACTATAAGCTGCAGTAGCAGAATACACACTTTGTTGAACGCCGCGAGCAGCAGCAACACAACTCGAGTGTTGATTACTAATGGCTAGAGCTTTGTTCATCGCTATAATAATTTCTCGTCGACTTGTCATCCTCGCTCTCGATCGACGACGAGCTGTTCAACTTCAGCTATATACACAGCTTGGGATGTGCTTTTGATTAGATATATCATGGAGCAGCGATACGCAATCCAGATCGCTGCTAGTACGCCCCGACTCTTTATGGCAATTGTGACAAATTAGCACCGATACGATCCAGCCCCCGACTCCGTCGGGCCGGATATTGCGAAGTGGTTATTTTTCAACGACAGTCGCACCGTAGCCCAGCAGCAGCAGCAGCAGCAGCAAGCAAGAGTATATATTATTTGCCGGTAATTCTTGTTTCAGTGTAATGAATTTACCATCATCGTTCGGGTTGAAAAAAAACTTTTTGTATCAATCGGTTACTCTCCACTGTGCAAGCACGATCTCTCATTCTCTCTCTCGCGTCGCGGCGTGCGCGCAATAAAGCTCTCTCTCACCCCCCCGGCCTCGCAAAAACTTTCTCCGTAAAACCAACATCTGCAATAAAACTTTTAGCCCTCCTCGTAATTACAGGGGTTGGCTTTCGATAAACATTATATATATAGGTAGGATCGCTACTCTTTCTCTCTCGCACGGACGCACATAGACACTCTGCGATTCGCGCGGCACACTCGGCATAGCAGTGCAATTCGAGCGAGAGGTCAGTTTTACAGAGAGAACGATTCGACGTGCTCTTTTTCTATTCTCCTTCTCGATCTTTTTCCAAGAGAGAGTTTCAGAGGAATCATGATGGGCGCACACACACTGATAGATATAAAAGAGCTCGCGCGCGACGAGCCACTTCTTCTGCATACGGTGAGTACGTTCCATTGGTTTTTTCTTTTTGCAAATCGAGCCAGTCGCGAGAGCAAAAACTTGATTCGCGAGAGCTCGTACATCACCGTACACGAACCGCATGTTTGTTCCGATTGAAAGACACACACACTCACACTAGCTCACGCTAGGAGAATGAGGGGAGGCAAAAAGTTACTCGTTCGAAGGCAAAGGATCTATCTATTGAAAGGTAACGCGGCTCCTTTTAGAGCACTCGCAGCGTGTGTTNCGCCTCGCTCCGCTTTGCGGCGGCTTGCGAGCGCCGTACGGTCCCTTGCGAGTGCGAAAAAGAGAGTTGACGTGATATCACTTCTTGGGGGGTCCTGCCCGTTGTTCTCATGTGCGTGGCGGGGGAATCGGCAGCGGTAGCCCGACTTCTCCTCCTGCGAATCCTCGATTTACGCGTTTTTACACACGGCTTATCGTACGCGGGTATGAAACGTGGTTTTCTTCTGTGCCGACTGCTGTTCGACCCCTTAGCTACCTTGCATAGCCCCCCTAAATCTCTGCGAAATTATTCTTGATTGAGCAGGGATTTATTCGAGGGTTTATGTCGGTTAGTCATGTCGAAATTATACAGAAGAATTACGGCTCATGGCGTTTTAATTAACAAAAAATAAAAATTGGTTGGCTCTCTGCCTTGTACATGTCTGGGTGTATTTTCACCACGTTCGACGAACAAACAAAATTATAAAATTCTTTCTTTCATTTATACAAAACAAAAACAAAAATTAGAGTAATCTTTTGGGTGCGGCGCCTGGCCTTAAAAACAAACATAAAATTGTCCTTGAGGTTTCTTGGGCATTGCCCTTGTCAGTGGAAAAACAAAAATAATGGCACTTTGTCAAATTAATAAAACTAAAATAAACTAAATATCACTTGTGGCTCTCTCGAGCGGAGAAAATAAAACAAAACAAAAAGTCTTTGGTATCACAGGTCACATTGAGAGATACCCCTCGTCGTCGCTGTCCGAGTCCCACCAAAAGTTGACCGGCGAAGGTGACGACGGCGGCGTGCGGTCTGTGCCCGACCAGCTGTCGTTTTCTGACACTCTCGATACCGGCGAATATGACGGTGATGGTAGTGGCGACGCTGCCTCACTCTCGCTCGTGTAGTCGACGACGTTGATCTCGGCCGATTGTGGTCGATTCACCATATAGCGCTCGACTTCCTCGTCGCATCCTGATGGTGTTGGTGAAGACGGTCTTGACGCCGATGGTCCTGGCGAGTGTACGGTGGCATCATCGCTGTCACTGATGGTCACGACCTCGTCGCTGTCGCTAATGGTTACGACCTCGTCGCTGTCGCTGACGGTTACGACCTCGTCGCTGTCGCTGACAGTGATCACGTCGTCGTCGTTGCTGCTGTTGGTCGGCGAGATGAGGTTGACAGTTGGTAGTGGCCGGGTGATGGTGGCGGAAGGGGGTGGTCGACGTTGGCATGGCGCACGAGTGGCTGAGGCGTTGGCTTGGTCAGAGGATGGCCGGGTGAGCTCCCACGGAGTACCGGGTATAAAACCCTCACGTGGAAAAGAACGGGGTACTCCGCAGCGCACATCTTCCAACCATTCTCGTAGCTGCCACATGCGCTTTATTCGCTGGTCGATATCCTCGTGGTCATCGTCGGCACGACGTTTCCTCGCTCGAGGTGCGTCTTGGCCTCGTTGACTTCCGGGTACCTCAGTCGTAGCGGTGGACGACACGGATGCCTCCGACCAACAGTCCTCCTGGCCCTCCTTGCCATTCCTGCACACATATCGTAAAATTTCCTGTGTTACTTACTTTATTTATATTTTTCTTTAAAACAAAATGGTTGCGGCACGTTAGGGAAAAGAAAAGAAAACGTTGGCTCTGTCTCTTAGTCCGTCGCCTCGAGTATTTCGTAGTCGTCGAGGGCCGGATCATCGAGATCAGCCTCCGGTATCTCTTTACTTCTTATTTTGATTGATCTTGAGAGATCTTCAATCTGCCTCTCGAGCCTGAGTGCCTCCTCTGCCTCTCGTCCCAGCAGTCTCAAGTAGTAGTCCCTATTTGCGCCTACTGCTTGTCTCTGCTCGGCCGGGATTGCGCGGAGGATGGCTTCTAGCAGTTGCTGCTTCCGTTTGCTCTTCCTCGGTAGCACGTAGAGTCCCTGTGACTTGGCCTCGGCGATCTTCTGCCTTCTTTTCTCTCTCTTTTTCTCCTTGTCTCTCATCTGGAAAATAGGGTCGAATATTTGAAATATGGTAACGTCCTCGTTTTTTGTGAGTGCGTGGGTTGGCCAACTCGTAGGTTGCTTCGGCACATATGTGCGTAACCACGTAAGGCCCTTCATATAAGTTGAGGAGTTTTGCAACACGTTGTGCTGAACTGGACGGTACTCGGAGCGCTTTGACGAGTACCAGGTCACCTATCTCCAGAGTGGTGATTTTGTGGTTTTTGTTCCACTTCTCAGCTCGCTCCTTCCCTATTTTCTCGATGTTGGCTTTTGCTTCGTCGCATTTTTGACTGTGCGACTGTTCGTCTCGGGGTTCCGGGACGTACTTTGTCCAGAAACGTTCTGGTCTCTCTCCTGTCTGTATCTCGAGTGGGCAGTAACCAGTCGTTTGATTCACCGTTGTATTTATTATCTCGGCTATGGCTTGGCACCAATTTGCCCAGGATGGATGATCGTTGCCCGCAAGGGTTCGGAGGAATCTCCCTATTTCCTTGTTGTAACGTTCAACGATATTTGATTGTGGGTGTCTGATTGATGAAAAAATAATTTTAATATTCTGTTGTTTCATGCAGAAGGCCCATGGCTTCGAGGTGAATTGGGAGCCGTGGTCGCTCTGTATATTTTTTACATGTCCAAAACGGGGAAAGTAATCTTCCACCAAGCATTTCACGGTCGCTTGGCATGTGGCACTCGCTATTGGGTAAATCTGCACGAATTTAGAAAACACGTCGGTCGTGACCAAGGCGAAACGGGCTCGGTTTTTCGATGGCGGAAATGGCCCTATGAAGTCGATCGATAGTAGGTCGTTTGGTTTCTCGACAAGGATCGGTTTTGATATCCCCTGCATTTCGGCGGTGTAAGTTTTGTTCCGTTGGCACGAATCGCATGCTTTCAATAATTTCTGCACATGTCTAAATAAATTGGGACAATAAAAACTCTCACTTATTAATGCGACGCATTTCCTTGGTCCTACGTGGCCATACAGCTCATGGATCTCGGAGATCAGCGGTCTCATTAACGTCTGTGGTAGATAACATTTTATGCCCTTAGCCGTCTCGTACATGATAAGTCCGTTGTCGTCCTTCACCACGTTATTGTGCTTCGATGTTTGCAGTCTTTGTAGATGCTTATCTTCGGCTTGGAGCTCACGAATATTTTTCAAGTCTTGGAGTATTGATCGTTGTGGCTTACGGGCTAGGAGCGCGTAAATATGTGCGGTTCCCTGGAGGTGTTCGTTCGTTTCTCCCGGTGGTCTGCTCAGCATATCAGCTAAAATGTTTGATTTTCCGGGGATATGAGTTATTGTAATATCGTAGTCTTGTATAATCAGACTCCAACGGAGTAAACGTTGGCTGAGGAAACGACTCGTCCGGAGAAAGGTGAGCGCTTGATGGTCGGTGCGGATTTCGATTGGTTTCCCGAACACGTAGCTCCGAAATTTCTNCTTTCAAAAGAGACCTTTTGCTTCTGTACGTCAATAATCGTTCCATAGGCTTGCAATGCGTCAATTCCTAGTATGCAAGTCTTTGCTAGCTTTGGGACTATCAGAAAATTAACATTGGTGGTAATTCCACGTATCGTCGTAGGCATGAGAATCTGTTGTTTGATCCTCGTTGATTTTTCGCCTCGGAATCCGGATACAAATGTATTTGTCAAGGGTAGTATGGGTAGGTTTGCGAAATGTTCTTTTTGTGCTTCGTAAAATTCTTCCACTATGCATGACACTGTGGCGCCTGTGTCAACAAGTGCCTGTGCTTGTACACAGTGATTGAAAGTTACGTTTACGTGTGGGCAGCGGGTTCTACTTGCCCCCCTGTCCTCACCTATGGGGTCATTTTCTCTTTTCAGGCCTTCGAAAAGGGTGCAGATTTTCTCGTCAGCTGCGTACTCCCTGCTCACATACGCAGCTGTTCCTCGTTTCCCGACTCGCGGTTCTGTTCTTCATCGTTACCCCGATATTCTTCACCGTCGCGTAAGTCTATTTCGTGTACGTTCGCTGGTTTATTTGGGTATGCGTTTCGGGTGTGATCGCGTCGGTAATCGCGTTGGTTATCGCGTTGATAGTCGTCGCGTCTTTGGTACGGGGGTCGTTGTGCTATTCTGTTCGGGTTTGGCGGATCGGGTAATCGTGCCCAATATGGTTCACGCCTAGCCTGAGTCGGCCTCTCTTGTCTTTCCGAGTTCAGCTTGCCGACGTTGTCGAGTCGATCGAGGAATTCTATAAGTTCGTCTACGCGGTGAATTCTTTGCGATATGATTGCGTTTTGTGTCTCCGTGTCGAAATGTCTCGAGAACTTCTCAATCATATCAATCTCCGAGGGAGGCGCGTCGAGTGCTTTAATCTGATTGTAAATCGCGATTACGTACTCGCTGCGGCTTTGGTTTTTATCAGCGTAGTAAAAACCTGTTTCCAATTGTTCGCGTTTTCGCGCTTGTATCATCCGGCTCCAGAATCTTTCTTTAAATCGCCGCTGAAAATCGGGTATGGACGTTACGCGTTCGTTTACGTGTTCCCACCACTCAGACGCTTGTCCTTGCAATGCTTGTTTAACGACGTGATAGAAATGATATTCGGTTAGCCCAACCGCGTTATAATAGTCCATAAAGTCGCGTAGGAATTTAACCGGTTTCTCGTATTCGGCGCCAGAAAATGTTGGGATCGCAAGCTTCGTAGGTTGTAACCCGTATGGCCTATTTGGCTGCGTTGGTGGGTACTGCATGACCTGCAGCTGTTGCGGTGTGGGTGTTACCGCGGGGGTTGATCGTGTTTGCATCGCGCCTCCTGAGGGCTGTTGATTTACGGAATTTTGTACGGCCGGCGGTGTCGTGTTGTTACTTTGTGTACCCGTCGCGTTTTCCGGAGGCTGAAGATTTTCCTTGAGATGGAATTTCTCGAGTCTATAAATCGATTCCCTTACCGCTCGGGTCAATTCCTCTCCTATCTGTCGCACGTGCTCTTCGCAACGTCGCGTAAATCTCTCGTACACTGCGTTCGAGTCTACCGAGTTCGTGATGTGCTGTGGGGGAAGGGGAAATTGGTACGTGTCCTCCTGTTTGTTTTCTGTCTTTGCAGGCTTGTTTTTAGATTTTGATCGTGACCTTGTCGTCATTCGATCGTCCTTCTCTTCCGCGGCACCGTCCTCGATTTCTGGGGTCCGCTGTTGCTCTGGCAACTTTTCATCGCTTTTTTTAGGCGGGGTATTAAACATTTTGATGTTGTGTTTAAATATATTTTTCTTTACCTATCGAGTTTACTAGGGATATTCGAATTCTACGCTCCGTGTGCTTGTTTTCATACAAGTCTCGGTTACGTATCGTTCGCCTTATCTAAATTCCCAGAATATTCGAATGAACAAAGCTCTCTTCGTTTAAACGAGTATTCGTATGCCCT